GGCAGGTCGGTTGGTCCGGAGGAGCTGACCCAAAGGCTGGCCGCCACCGCCCCGGCCCGGTCCTTCGCTGGCTCTAGCGCTTCCCTGGCCGAGCGCCTTCCGAGCGCCAACCCAATGGAAAGGGCTTTTAGCAAGCTGGTTTGCTGCCGGGGCGGCAAGCGGGGCCGTCTGAGTCCCGTAAGTGCTGCAGGGAACAGGAGAGCAAGGCCAGGCGTGGAGGGGAGAGGGGCAACCCTTTTTTTATTGTAACCATTCACAACTTCACCCCAGAGGGGGCTGCAACTCGCGCTCGTTCTCACCGAGAAGTTTCACGGATTCAACCCACCTGAGTTTTGGCTGGCAGTTCCCCGCTGCCTCCCGCGTGCTGGCGCTACCAGGCGCCTTGCCGTGCAGCGTGAGCTACCGCGCTCGAAGCGGCGGTCGGTCCCTTGAGCCTCGGTGATGGCTCAGGAGAAGGCATGAGGTTGTTCCTAGAGAGGACGACACAGAGGCGCTCCACGAGATCGCTAAGCCGGGCTGGCTGATTGCCCCCACGCCGAGTTGGAGACACCCCGTGCAATCACCAAGCCAAGCTGGCTGTTGTAGCTCTGCTCTGTCTTAGACTTTTAAAATTTTGGTGGGAAGAGGCTTTTAGATATCATCTGCTTCATTCCACTGCTCGTAGCCCTGCTGACTTTGGCACTGGGGCCACCTCCCAAGCCAGGTTGGGTTCCCTTCCTCACCTGTGGTGTGGCTCACGGGGCACTTGGCTGAGCCATTGCAGCGCTCTGACTCGGGAGAAATATTTTTTTTTTTTAATTGTTGCATGAGTTTTCTGCCAGCTTGGCATGCTGGAACAGCTTTTTCGGAGCCAGCATGAGTAAGAGGGTGGGACCAGGGAGAGCACGACTATAGCAGCCAGCGGTTAGATTGGCTCGGGCGATCATGAAACCGCAACATCCGGAGCAGTGGGCAAAGGGAAATCTCCTGGCGGCTGAGAGGCAGGGGCAGGCGGCCCCCACGGCCGCCCTTCCCCCACAAGAGTCGGGGCG